CATGCACAGATCACTCCCATACTTAAAAAAACCATGCTGGACCCCACCAACCTGAACAACTTAAGACCCATCTCCCTGCTTCTGTTTACCTCTAAACTCTTAGAACTCTTAGTCTACAATTGCCTGAGCTCCTATTTCACTGACAACAACCTTCTTGACAACAACCCTTTACAGTCTGGCTTTCGATCACTCCACTGAAACCGCCCTACTAAAACTCACTAATGTTCTACTAACTACTAAAACCAATGGCCACTACTCTATACTCTTACTACTTGACCTCTCTGAGGCTTTTGATAATACTGTTGACCATCCCCTCCTCAAAAAAACCTCTCTCCACTTCCTCATTCTGTAGGGGTTCCTCAAGGTTCTGTCCTTGGACTCCTTCTCTTCTCCATCTACAATTCTTCCTTTGGTTACTTGCTAAACTCCCATGGCTTTACGTATCATCTCAGCATTGACTCCACTTCCTCAAACTAACTCTTGCCGAAACAAAGCTTATACTATTTTCCCCAGCCCGTGCTACCTCCCCTGACTTCTCCATCAAGATCAATAATACAACCATCAGTCCCTCCCCTCATGCCAGGGTACTAGGTGTAATCCTAGACTTCCATCTGTCCTTTCAGCCCCAAATCCAATTGCTGTCCAAATCTTGTAGACTTCACCTCCGCAACATCTCCAAGATACGCCCTTTCTTAACCTCTGAAACCACTAAGCAACTTATTCACTCCCTTGTTATCTCTCACCTTGACTATTGTAACTCCCTCCTCATTGGCTTACCTCATTGCAGGCTATCCCCTCTTCAGTCTATTATGAATGCTGGTGCCAGACTCATCCACCTTACTAACCATTCTGTATCTGCCACCCCTCTCTGCCAATCCCTCCACTGGCTTCCCATTGCCCAACAAATAAAATTAAAAACATTAACAATAACACATAAAGCCATTTATAACTCTGCCCCAAACTACATCACCAATCTTGTCTCCAAATATCACCCAAACTGTCCTCTCCACTCCTCGCATGACCTCCTGCTCTCTAGCTCCCTTGTCTCCTCCTCCCATGCTCGTCTCCAGAACTTCTCCAGAGCCTCCCCCATCCTCTGGATCTCTCTACCCCAATCTATCCATCGCCTACTCTGCCCACTTTTAGGCTATCTCTGAAAACTAATCTCTTCAGGGAAACCTATCCCACCTTCAGCTAATAACAGAATCTTCTATTCCTCCTACCAGTCCATCCCCCACAGTTATTACCTTTTTGTACCACCAGCCCCTCCCTCTTAGATTGTAAACTCCAAGGAGCAAGGCCCTCCTTAACCCTCTTGTATTGAACTGTATCATTACTGTATTGTCTCCCTTTTATATTGTAAAGCGCTGAGCAAACTGTTGGCGCTGGTAATAGGTACATATGGCCCATGAATTAGGTCAGATTACCAAGGCATAAGCACTATTGCTTCAAAATTGGGCGGTAGACATATCTTAATCCATTGCTGCCAGGTTTTATCGAATTTGACCACCTGGTCTTCTTCCAGGGCTTCCATTTTTTCATGGATCAGAGTGCGGTTCATTCTGTGTTTGGTTTCAGCCACAACCAAGGAGGACTTCCAGACTCTAACTATCGTCTGTTTTGCTGCTGTTAGAAGCAGGATCGAGAGCTTTAATTGCATAAACATTACAAATGCTGGACGCAGGTTGAGGACGGCAATTGTAGGGTCCAGCTAGAGGGGTAGATCAAGCACCGTGGAGGCAAGTGTAAAGACAGCTTTCCATAAGTCTTCGACCATGGGACAATCCCACCAGATGTGTATGTATGCACATTCTAGTTGGGACCAGATACCATCTGTTAGCACTCTGTAGTTTGGCCTTGACTGCCACCATGTTAGGCGAGGAAGACTGGGTTGTTGACCATATTTCGGACTAGTGTCCAAAGTGTGGCCGAGGTCTCTTTACCACTTAGCTACGAAGGTATGGGAGGCAGCGTCTGGTTTAGTTATTAATTGATTGTAGAGGGTTGATGAGACCTCTTGTGTGTGGGTCGCTTTTGCAGCTATGTTTGAACCTAGTAAGTTGGTTTAGTAAATTTCCAGCATGTGTGAATGGCAAGTAAAATTTTTAATTTTGTAGGTAGCGGTACATTCCGACCGTGGAAGACCATATGTCTCACATAGGGCTGGGAAGGATTGAAAGGACATAGCGGTGGTCAGGTTGTGTAAGCGGCTGAGGCCTGATGTGGTCCACACCCAGAATGACACGGGAGACTCCCAGGCTGGGTAGAAGGCTGGGTTTCTGAGAAACAATAGAAGTGGATTATGCATGGACTGAAGTTCATAGGTTGTCTTTAGTTTATCCTAGATTAAAATGCTTTGTGACAGGGTTTCTGAAGCTAGCATGGTCAGCTGATAAAGGGTCAGATTTACCTGAAATTTTTTTTTTTATTGGATAGGTTTTTATAGCAGAAAGTAAAAAATGTGTTTTGGCTTTTTTTGTGTTTATATCACGAAACTAATAAATCTAGTGGTGGTAAAATACTACCAAAAAAAGCTCTATTTGTGTGAAGAAAATTCTATCAATTTTGTTTGAGTGCAGTGTTGCATGACTTCACAGTTACCAGTTAAAGTAGAGCAGTGCTAAATAGCAAAAAATGGGGTAAAATCTTCTGGAGCTGAAGTGGTTAAATGGTACTATGCCCTAGAAATATGGTCAAAATAATGCAATTGCCTGATGAAAAACAATTGGGCTAGTAATGACATAGGGAATATGTGCATTCATGTCCCTCTTACTGCGGAGGATACTAGGGTGCTATGGATCATTTAATTTCTTTTCCAAACCATTCTATTCAAAAATGAAACCCAGCCACAGGTAATTAGCTACTCACTTTTCTGCCATATTGTGTGTGTTGCCTGCAGTTCTCTTTTGTACTGATGACCTTGTCTTTCTATAGTTGTGCCAGTGTTTACTCCCTCCCACGCTTATGGTGCCCATAGGAATAATTGACTTTTATATAAAGGAACTCAACAGGCTAGAGCTGTAACTTAAATACCTCAAGGGATGTCCAATATAATAAAGGGTGCAATGGTTTTGCACAGACCAACCCCAATCCTCCTCTTCTCAGGACCCCCACTTGCGCTTGTGGCCCCTCTCCTTTGCATGCTCACTCTGGAGCTGCCTGTGTGTCTATGGGACACACAGAGCATGGCTCAGTCCCGCCCCCCTGCTCCTTCCTCACTGGCTGTAATTCACAGCAGTTGCTATGTCTCAGCCAGTGAGGGGAGAGAGACCTGGGAGAACCGAGGCTCCTGTGCACAGTGCTGGATGAAGATCAAGCTTGGGTAAGTATTAGAGGGGGGGGCTCTGGGGGGACTGCACACTGGAGGTTTTTTTTTACCCTTTTGCACACAATTCATCATGATAAAAAAACCTTCACCCTTTAAATCCACTTTAACCTGCCACTTTGCCATTCCTATTACCCTGACATCATTGCCTGTAATAGTTGACATTACAAGATTTCTGAATGTAACTTTGGTTCCTGAGAAACGTTCTCTTACTCAGCCCAGGAGCCCAAACCCAGGAATGCCTCCTATACAAATATTACATTAGCACTCATGCACAAGGTGTGCCCCTCCCTGATGTTGATGAAACCCGTATATCACATTCAGAGATGCCGGTAAGGGGAAGATATACAGTAGAGTCTGAGTTCATATGTTATATTTTATTATCATTAAAAAAGGTGGCTGTGTTAGCTTAAAGTGGATCTTAAGGCTCAAGGGTTTTTTTTTTTACCTTAATGCATTCTATGTATTAAATTAAGAAACCTTCTGCGTGCAGCTTCCCTCTCAGACTCCCCCCCCCCCCCCCCCCATTTACCTGAGCCTGATCTAGATACAGCAATGTGCATGAGAGCGGCAGCTCTCCTGGGTCTCTCTCCTGTCACTGGCTCACAGAGTAGCCATTGGCTCCTGCTGTGACAGCAATCACAGCCAGTGAGCCAATGAGGAGAGAGTGGGGCCAGGGACTGAGCCGTGCTCTCTGTGTAAATGGACACACAAAGCGCGGCTCAAGACCCAGCCTGATTGAGTGCCCCCATCGCAAAAGGCTTGTTGTTGGGAGCACTTGGCAGGGGGGAGGAGCCAAAAAGAAAACCATTACACACAGCAGCTAAGTATTACAGGTTTGTCATTTCAAAAAACAATATTTCCTTTAGAATCACTTTAAAGCTGATCTTAAAGAAACTGCTAAATACATTGACAAAATACTGTACATACTGTATGTGTGTAAATACATGAAATATACATATGATAAAGATTTGTATTTCTGTCCATCCATTCGAGATCTATATAGCCCTGCCACACAGCACAGCTCTCTGGAAAGGAAGAAGACCATTTTTTTTCTCTGCTGCAGATAAGTAACACTTATAGGTCTTGCCCCTCCCCCAGCCTGTAACTGGACATTAAAAGGAGAAGCATAACACTGATGAGCTTATCTCTGCTCCTTCCTCCTATCAGCATGTTCCTTGTTGGCACTTAAGTATTGCATTTTAACTGTTTGGATCCTTGTGTTGCTTCTCTCTTTTCCACTCTAAGCCCTGTTGTAACTAAATCGAACACGGGTACTTACACCGCTTCCATTTTGTGTCCATTTTCATGTCTTGATAAATACAGTTCCCTATTAATATGTATCTTTTTATATCTGAGAAATAAAATAAACCCGTGCCAAAGAAAATCAAAACCTCAATAAATATGACTTTTGTGTTTTCAGCAGATCACCAGTTAATTATGCTTATTGCTTTTTGTCCCACAACTTTGTAGCGCTCTCGTAGTCATTTACATACAGGAAGTGAGTCCATAGGTTTGGGCAGTCCTAACTATACTGTTTACAAACTTAAAACCTTTACAATAAATATCATTGTCTAGTCTACCCTTCCTGATCCTTCTTTGAAGATTTAGGACTACAAAAAGAGGTTACTGGTCCTCTTCATAAGTTAATATATGTGAAACATTTCTTTTGTAGGCTGACCTTTCAAAGTACAATAATGTGATGGTGTTCCTGGCCCCAAAAGTGGTAAGTACCACCTTTTTGTTTTGAAAAAAAAAAAAGAAAGAAAGCGTGTCCTCAATTAACCCTTCCAGAAGGAAAATAACAAACTGTAAGCACAGCCTATACCAGTGGTGGGCAACCTTTTTTTTCAACTGAGCCAAATCTCGCCAAAACCACGATTGAAATTTATTTTGAGAGCCACATTTTTATAACTGAAAATACATAGGATGGTACACTGTTTTTAGTTTCAATAAGTTTTTATAGTAATTCATCCCCCATATAGTAATTCATCCCCCATAGTAATTCATCCCCCCTATAGTAATTCATCCCCCATATAGTAATTCATCCCCCATATAGTAATTCATCCCCCATATAGTAATTCATCCCCCATATAGTAATTCATCCCCCATATAGTAATTCATCCCCCATATAGTAATTCATCCCCCATATAGTAATTCCTCCCCCATATAGTAATTCATCCCCCATATAGTAATGCATCCCCCATATAGTAATTCATCCCCATATAGTAATTCCTCCCCCATATAGTAATTCAATCCCCCATATAGTAATGCATCCCCCATATAGTAATTCATCCCCCATAGTAATTCATCCCCCATATTAATTCATCCCTCATATAGTAGTAGTAAGTAAGTAGCAAGTAGTAAGTCAAGTCCCTCCTGTGTCAATTCACTTACCTTTGCTCGCCGTCCTCTCGCCGTGCTCCCCGCGCCGTTCCGGTCTTCAGGGCGGACTGTGAGAGGAGCCTAGCTCCCCTCACGTTCGTCACGCTGCCCCGCCTACACACATCCTGACAGCCAATCACTAGCTATCAGGATGTGAGTGGCAGCGAGACTGGCCAATCATTGCTGGGCTAGCTGCAGAGTCCTCGGCCACCCGAGAGGAGGGAGGGGAGGGGAGCGGCCGCCCGAGAGGAGGGAGAGGAGGGGAGCGAGCGCCCGGCACACAGAAGAGCCGCATTAAAATGTGTAAAGAGCCGCATGTGGCTGGCTCGCCGACCACTGGCCTATACAAACCCGTGTTCTGATTACAGAGTCAGCTGTGGTCCGAGCTAGATTTACTTTATTTTTCAATATTACCTTCAGTCTATTCCATCAACATTGGTATGTGCATGAAAAGTTCATTTCTGTTGTTCGTTAACTTTATGTCCTGCACCGAATAGTCTAATTGTGTTTTAATGTGTATAACAGGTCATTTACAAGCACAAAATGAACCCTCCACTTAACTTTGGAAATGCAATTACATTGTTGTGTCGTATCCAGCATGTTGTTCATTCTCGAAATATATTACTCTGCACAGATTAATGTACCTGCAAAGCAATAGAGAATGCTTGGAACAGTTACCCACAATCCATTGCTTTTGTAGCGGTAATATGCGTGTTTGTTTTCCTAACAATTTGTAAAGGATAACTCCGCAGAAGCGCACCACATTATGTATAAGGTGTGTGTATGTAATATATATATAATATAAAATATACATACACGCACACTATATTGCCAAAAGTATTGGGTCGCCCCTCCAAATCATTGGATTCAGGTGTTCCAATCACCTCAATGGCCACAGGTGTATAAAATCAATCACCTAGGTATGCAGACTGCTTCTACAAACATTTGTGAGAGAATGGGTCACTCTCAGGAGCTCAGTGAATTCAAGTGTAGTACTGTGATAGGTTGCCACCTGTGCAATAAGTCCATCTGTGACATTTCCTTGCTACTAAATATTCCACGGTCAACTGTTAGTGGAATTATAACAAAGTGGACGCAACTGCAAACAACAGCAAGTGGTAGGCCGGGGTCAGTGCATGCTGAAGTGCACAGTGCACAATGTCTGCAGAGTCAATAGCTAAAGACGTCCAAACTTCATGTGGCCTTCAGATTAGCACAAAAGTGTGTAGAGAGTTTCATGGATTGGGTTTCCATGGCCGAGCAGCTGCATGGAAGCCTTACATCACCAAGTGCAATGCAAAGCGTCAGATGCAGGGGTGTAAAGCAAACCGCCACTGGACTCTAGAGCAGTGGAGACATGTTCTCTGGAGTGATGAATCACACTTCACTGTCTGGCAATCCGATGGACATGTCTGGGTTTGGTGGTTGCCAGGAGAACAGTACTTGCCTGACTGCATTGTGCCAAGTGTAAAGTTTGGTGGAGGGGGGATTATGGTGTGAGGTTGTTTTCCAGGGGTTGGGTTGGCTCCTTAATTCCAGTGAAGGGAACTCTTAAGGCATCAGCATACCAAGACATTTTGGACAATTTCATGCTCCCAACTTTGTGGGGACAGTTTGAAGGTTCTTTTTTTTTGGGGTTTATTTGAAAAACTTGGATGGAGATTGGAGGGAGTCTTGGGATACTCCAGAAGTTGTGCAACTTTAACTGATGACACTCTCTCATAGAATCTAGACTCTTCCAGGTAGGACTTTAGAAGAAAAGGGATGTGGACATACAACTAAAAACAGCCCTGAGCCAGCAAATCTAGAACAGTCTCTTCCAAAAAAAAGTCAAACTGCAACAGTCTCTCCAGGCGCCCTCTGCTCACTCCCTGTACACCAGTGTTAATTTCATTGACAAAAAGATATTTTTTCATAAGTTTCATTAGAGGCATGTTTTCAGTGACGAAAACTAAACAAAAGCTAAATGAAAACTTTTTTAGGGTATTTTATTGACAACAGACCGTTGCTGAAATTATACTTCGTAACACACTATGAAACAGAAAAGTGGCCTTATGCATATCAGCAGAGAAATGTCATGCACTCTGCCAGTCAGAAATGAAGAATTTAATTGAAAAATAATTGTAGTTTAGCAAATTCCCATTAATGCAGAAATAAAATCTGCAATACTTACCTCTCCTTCAAAAGTCTAAGGTCCCTTGCTGGCACCAGCATGTTCTCTCCGGCTTCATTTGTGTGTTGGGCTGGGACAGTCTTCGTTGACAGACGCCATGCTGAAAAGTGAACTTAGCTGTGCAAGTTTTTGGTTTTCCTTTAACCCCTTCCCGCCCAACTGTTTAACAGGGTCATTACATCTAAGGAGTGGGAAAGACTGCCCAATCATGTGACCACTGTGACTGGCTGTCACAATGGTCACATGATTGTAAGTCAGTCCCGCAAGCTACCAATTGTTAGCTGAGATCAGGAACTGTCTATGACAGCTTGGTTGCTGTGCTTGGAGCACGAACGGTGGGTTCTCTCAGCACAGAAACTTCAGACACCCATGGACACATATCTGCAGTGTGTGGCCATTAAAGCCCACCCTCTATGTATTACATGGTGTGACATAAGTTAAGAATGTTGTCTCTGATGTCACATTTTTCACCTTATACATGTACCTTATACATTTCCTCTTACTATAATGTATCAATGATTCTTTTCTCTGACATGATCTTGTTCCTGTGACATTGTGCGATCTGTTCCTGGTCTCTGAAGGTGCAAGAGCTGGAGAAGAAGTTATCTGCTGAACTTCCTGAAGATGCCCGAGTGATTGTCTGCAGATTCCCATTGGATTGGCAGCCAACATGCACAGAAGGTGCTGGGTTAGATCAAGTTTGGGCATATGATATGGTCAATGTTAGGAAGAATCCAGATCACAAATGAAGTCGGAAGGTGCAGTGATTGTCTTCTTCTTTAAGCCCTGGTTCACACTGATGCGGTGTGGAATTTACAGCTTTTTCAGTGTGAGTTCTGCACCGCATCACAATCTCACCCCGTTCATACGAACCGATGCGGGTGTGTATGTTAAGTTAACAACACCCTGACATTGATCTGCAAAACATGGTGCGATGTGCAGAATCGGATCACATAGGTGGGAATACCTATGTGATCCGATTCTAGTGCGGACCAGAAAAGGGTCTTGCACATTTTGGGTGCGGCGCGAATAGAGACATACAAAATGTATGGCTCCAATCGCACCGCACACAAATTGCATGTGATTTGTACAGGAATGCGGTGCGGTTCCTGTGTGAATCACATGGGATTTACTGCACCGCTGTTTTGTAAACCTAGGCTAAGGATCACAATACACGTTACAATCTAATTATACAATCAACTTTAGATGTATCAAAAGTCTGTGACCTTCCTAAATCAGTCTGTATCCAATTAGGCACCCCCTGCACTACACAGCTGTTGGTTGATTTAGAGGAGATGTACAATTAGATTGTAACATGTGGTGGGCATGACTTGCACTATACCCACACAGAACAATCTGCCCTCTAATATGACAATATTAGACAAAAATAAAAAATTATATTTTTTTTTTCTGGAAATGACTAGAACAATTGTTCTATAAACATGGTAGTATACAGTCCATTTTCCAGAAATAAACAAATATAATTTTTTATTATTGTCTAATATTGTCATATTAATTGTTCTAGTTTACAGACAAAACTATTTCAGATCTTGCCTACTTTCTGTGGTTGTTGAAAATCTTTAAAGAGAGAAATATAGCTTTACCTTCTCCTGAAAATATTAGTTGCTTTGCTCTAGCTTGAACAAGCAAGCAGCCAGTGAAGCCTTGACTCCTGACCTTTATGTTCTTGGTCAGTAACTTAGACGTTACTAAACCAATGGCTTAGAATAATAGACCGGAACTGAACATTTACAGAAGGATAGGTTTGCACTGGCAGCTTGTGTGTTTTATTTTACTGTCTTGCTCAATTTAAATTAATCTTGCTGCCATTTTAAAAATTTAAAAAAAAAAAGCCTGCAAAAAAAAAAAACACACAACTTTTTTAGAAACCTAGAAGAGTGATGGCAGAAAAATTGGTCCATAGAGTCTGCTTCTTTTTGATTTTTAGTTTTTTATAGATCTGTTTTTGTTCCACACATATTTGAATTCATTTACTATTCATTGACTCGCTACCTCTGCTGGGAGTTCTGTTCCGAATATCAACTACCCTTTTCAGAAAAATAATACTTGCTATGATTATGAGCTTTCTTCCTTCTAGTTTGTGCAAATGTCCCCATGTTCTTGATCATACCTTCATATGCAAAATGATTCCTCCCTGAACCTCATTCTGGCCATTAATGTATTAATCTACCCCATAGGCCATTCCTCAGATCTTAACTCTGTTCAGGAGGAAAGGCTTGTGGCAAAAATGTCACATCTGACACTGTTCCAGGTGTGTCAGATGCCTTGTCTGTGTTATGGTTCGCAGTGCTAGCCTCTAGAACACAACAGTGACAAAAGGGCCAGGGGACATTAAGAAAGAACGCGCATGGCGGGTGATGCAGGCATTCAACACTCCTGGACGTGTCAGATGTGGAAATGTTGTTGTTCAGAGCAAAAATCTGAGAAATTGGTGGGCAGACATGTGCGTGTAAAGCTCTTGTGTTTTTTTTTTTTTGTCTTTTTTTTTTAATTCTTTAAAATTTAAATTAGTAACAGGATCACGTTAAGGTTAGAGTGGTACTCAACTCCCCCACCATGTTTTTTTCTCCACTTACCTGTAGTGCTCCTCAAAGTACATACATGCCCACACGGTGAATCCAGAGTTGTTTCGGTGTGATCAGCTACTTGGGTGCCAAACATCAGGTCCCACCATTTGTTTGAGATCCTGTAGCTTCCTGGGAGACGTGATGTAAGTATCCCAGGAGGCTGAAGGACAAGGTACATGTCATTCTGGTCTAGCCTCAAATTTCTGTGAGGGATGGGGCTGAAAATAAAAAAAAAAAATTTTAAAAAATAGAAAGAAAAGAGAAAACAACAAGAGGGGAGGAGTGGTAAAACAAAACGTACTCTCTTTGGGGAGTTGAGTTCACATTTCTCACTGTTCCTGGTGTGTCAGATGTCTTTCATCTCTGCTACAGTTGGGACTGCTAGCCCCTACATCGCTAGAGCACCCAACAATAACACAGGCATTCAACACTCCTGGATATGTCCGTTGTGGAAATTTGTTCTCAAACAGAGCGAAGATCTGAGAGATTTCTGGCCAGACAGGTGGGAATAAAAGGTCGTCTTCTGTGGGGTTTTTTTTTTAAATTTTATTTTATGTTTTAATTTTCTTTTGGAAGTTGAGTTCCGCTTTAACTTCAGCAACTTGGACAGTTGTCATTTAAACATGTAATATGGGCTGCCTTGGAACAGGACATGTTTCTTTGAAATAAATTGGGATTTTATTGTGTAGAATTCTTGGTTAAATCACGTTTTTTTTTTTTTTTTTTTTTTTTTTTTTTTAAGCCCTTGCAATCTTTAAAAATGTGTAATTAAAGGTTATGGTACAATATACATAATGGGAATTGTGGCTGCTGCATCACACCTCTTCTGCTCTCCCCTAAAGCCATAAAGCCCTTAGTCCTATAGTTCAGAGGACTATTGAAGGAAAAAGTCTCAGCAAGAGCAGAATTGTTCTAACTGTGTGGCCATTATACAAGAGATTTTAGATTACTTTGTAATTAATTTCATGCTGAACAAATAATGTGAAAAGCTAGAGATGTGCAGTATTAAAGTCAAAATCTTTATTTTGGTATCATTTGGAATGTGATTGTTGATTAGACATGGATCTCCATCCATTTACAGCTAACTACATGTGTACATAGAAATCACTATTCTTTGACGTTTAGGCAGTCACACTGAAACTATGCGGCTTTTTATAAGCTCCATTATTGTCCTGAAACTAGTGATCAGCCTGGGAGTTCTAGAATGGCAGCTTCCGTCTGAGGCTTCTAGGGAAGGGATTTAATTTTAAAGGAATCTCTTTCATTTATATTGATAAAATTTTGCCTTAAATGCATTCAATTACTCTACATATTTGTACTGTGAAATAATCCTGAAATACCTCATCTGTCTCCAATGTCAAACCCTACACTTGAGGGGGTGATGTACTAAAACTGGAGAGTGCAAAATCTGGTGCAGTTGTGCATGGTAGCCAATCAGCTTCTAACTTCAGCTTGTTCAATTAAGCTTTGCCAAAAAAACCTGGAAGCTGATTGGTTACTATGCAGAGTTGCACCGGATTTTTTCACGCTCCAGCTTTAGTATGTCAACCCCTATGAGATGTAATTTACTATGTACTTTGTGTTTGGAGATTAAATACTGTTTGCACAAATTAAAATTTCTGAATAAACAGGATTAGTATACCTAATTTGTCTTGTACAATTCCTTCAGCATCCAGTGAGCATGGAAGCCTCTGTGTAAATCAGTGGTCTCCAAACTGTGGCCCTGGGGCCAGATGCGGCCCTCTGCTTGCTTTTATCAAGCCCTTGGGCCATTATTCCTCCCATTGTCAGCAACAGTGATGCATAGTTCCTGCCACTGACACCAACAAGACACTATTCCTCCCACTGACACCAGTGGTGAAGCACTATCCCTTCTACTGGCACCAATGATGGGGCACTATTTCTCCCACTTACATCAATGATGGGGCACTATTACTCCCATTGACACCAATGATGGGTCTCTATTACTCCCATTGACACCAAGGATGGGTCTCTATTACTCCCATTGACACCAAGGATGGGTCTCTATTACTCCCATTGACACCAATGATGGGGCACTATTACTCCCATTGACACCAATGATGGGGCACTATTACTCCCATTGACACCAAGGATGGGGCACTATTACTCCCATTGACACCAAGGATGGGGCACTATTACTCCCATTGACACCAAGGATGGGGCACTATTACTTCCATTGACACCAAGGATGGGGCACTATTCTTCTCACTGACACCAATGATGGGGCACTATTCTTCCCACTGACACCAATGATGGGGCACTATTCCTCCCACTGACACCAATGATGTGACACTGGTTACTCTCAATGACACCAAGACATTTCTACAGTCCAGCCCTCCTAACATTTGAAGGACAGTAAACTGGCCCTTTGTTTAGAAAATCTGAAGACCCCTGGTGTACATGAAGAGTAAGGTCTGTTCACAATGATTACATTGTTCACAAAAAACAAGAATATTTTCCTTTGCACTGTTGTAATGCCTGATGTGCAGAAAGGAAGCCTCTCATACAGAACCCGGAAGATAGTGGCTCTCGCTGTATGTAACAAGGACTGTTAGAGTGACCGCATCCTCAGCAGCCCTCCGGCTATCAGATATGGATACTTACAAGTTGGCCCAATGTAACTATATGAAAAATAAAATTCCTGGTGTTCAGCTTTAAAACCAGCATGTAATATATTGCAGCTTATCAGTCCTTAGATGTGTGGTTGCATTAGTTTTCTTTTTTTGGATTCCATTTTTTTTTTAACCTGGTAAGCTCATGAGTGAAAAAATGTCAAGCTCTAAAATGAGATTGATCACTTAAGTTATTCTGTCTATGAAAGGCAGCATTGTCTCTCTAGAATTCTTGCTCTTAATTTGAGCTACAGAACACCTCCCTCTTTCCTTGCCCCCATAACATAACAGAAGTGAACTGGGCAGTACTGATAACACTCCTTAAGATCTTGGTACCGAGGAAGTGATCAGCTCATTAGATTTCCGGCAATAGCAACAGTCAGCTACTTCCAGTGATAATTACGAGAATACCAAAGATATTCAAAATTTAGGAACGACATTGAATAAAAGAGCAGAGGCCATTCACTTCAATCTATGAAATCACATGCAAGAAAAAATTCAGTTTTCCCTTTGCAGAAGATTGATTAT